ACCTGATGGTAAGCGATTAGCGCCGCCCATGGCAACACCAGAAGAACCACAGGTGCGTAGACGGACATTTAAAAAGGAATACGCTCTTTTATTGAAATAGTATATGTTTTGACTGCCTCATTGGGCGAGTGGTCGCAAGTGCGACTGCCGGGCAAGGGGTCTCGGACCTCGGTTCGATTCCCGGGTCGAGGTAATACTGGGTTTTGAAAAAATTCTTAGTGGTAGCACGGAGTCTGGAATTGTGCCCGGTATATGGCAATAGGCTCACCCCTATTACATGACACTCATAACATAAATAGTGAAAAGTGGGTGTTACATTGTACAGTGGCATCAAGTGCCGTAATATGCACCTCTGCTTACCCCCTCGGGGATAAAGCTGTGATGTTATGTTAATGTTTTGACTTTGACCTATATTCAGAAGTGTATGGAAAACTGACTGACGATATTGATAGTTAATTAATAGAAGAAAGAAATAAATAAAAACCTGTATTTCACACTAAAAAAACAAGGGACGTGTAGGTACAGATGTGTTATTCTATCAGTAGGTACTGATGAATACATGTTCATGTCCCAAGTCTGCTGTGAAATGGTATGGTAATCAACAGTCATCAGTCTTTTCATACATGCTCGTCGCTTAAGACCTACTTTAAAATTATTAGGCCTTTCTTTAATATATCATCAATCTGGTTGATATATATCTCTCTGTAGGGCCTCTACCAACGGTCCCATTTAGATCCGCACTCTGTATATACTTCTTTCCTTACTCTACTTTCGTCCACCCTTTCTACTTGTCCAAACCATCGTAACATTCCCTTTTCAATCCTTGTCACTATCACTACATCGTCTTTCAAACCTCTTTTTTGAAGCGACAGAGGTATGTAATCATTGTAGGAATTGGCGTTTCATAGTCTTTGCTTTTACCCCATGGGAGGCAGGCGTGAAGTTATCTATGTATCTCAATCAAACTCTTAACAAATATATGGCAATATCGACATTCATACTGCATTATAGCCCGCTCTCATTCCCCAAAGATTCATGGCATGGTAATGACGTCTCCCCCAATCGTTGGCTGGTTGCCATCGCCAAACATTAGCATTTTATTTCCTAGAGTCAGGGTCATTGCCAACCGAATAGGAAGTCATTAATATTAGTGTTACAAGTTTTAAGTAATAGCTAAAGGAAATATGGACTAAGTGACAGGTTGCGTGGTAATCTTGGTAAATAGAGTTAAAAATAGACCCGTTTAGCAGTTTATATCTAAGTTTTTAATAGTATTGGTGGTTTTGTCATCTTTATTGCAAGTTCTGGATTTTGTAATCCATGTTATTGATGTTATAAATGTATTTCCATACATTACTTTGTCTGATTTAATTTTATGGAAGTAAATTGCATACAGTTTTAACTTTTTAGTAAACTGATCGATATTTTTAGATCATAGGTATATCATTTTACGTTCTAAATGTTCTTTACATTGGTATTGGAATTGGTCAATACTAAATTATTACTCTACTAGCTTCTGCCCGCGAATTCGTAGGTACGCGTAATCCCATTTTTTCCCGTCCCCGTTCGTGATGTTCAGTAAAAAGTTTAAAAAAAAATTGTTTAAAAAGTATCCTATGTCGGCCTCCTGGCTCTAAGCTACCTCCTTACCAATTTTCAGCCAAATCTATTCTGCCGTTCTTGAGTTATAAGTGGTGTAACTAACACGACTTTCTTTTATATATATAGATTTTTAACGTTCATTTCAAAACAATGATAGGTATTGCATTTCGCCGTAACTGTACCCATTTCATGTCATAGCAGAAGGCCCAATCGCGTTGACATTTTGATCTTGATAAGGGCGTAGTTTGGAAACAGGGGAAGGACCATTGCCAAGATACATGTATACGATCCTTATGCCCATCAAAATAAATTACATTATCTATCAAAAACTTTTGGGTGCTTTCAGGCTTGCTTTGAAAGCCACAATGTCAAAAATTGAATTCCCTAAAGATCCTTCATAACAAATTTTGTTCAAACTTACAAACATCAGATTAAAATATCGTTGGCGAAGTGACTGCCAGGCGAACGATATTTGCAACCTCTTGGGAAATTATCGGATAGATCCTTATAGCTTGCGATCTGTTTTTGCATATTTACTTGAGTATATTTTACAAAGAAATTCACAGGATAATACATACAATTATTTTAAAGACACAAAAAGATAATTGTTTATTTGCTAAAGGAAAATATTGGGAGGAAATCCAGACGTATCATTTCAAATTATAAGTTTGCAAGGCGGATTGGCGATCCTAGCTAATCCGCCTTGTTGTTCAAGGCAGATTGGCGACTGGCGTAGTGATAAATGCTTATTTCTTTACCGTTTGAGAAGAATTCTTAGCTCAGTAAAGATAATTACGGGCTGATGTTTATATTTGCTATTTAAAACGTTTTACATCATATCCAAATCCCTCAATCTCTACCCATTCTATTCTTTCAACTTAAACAATTCATTCATCGTTTCAACATCTCCTCTACCTTACGTTAAGTCGTCGGTCACAATTGTCGTGCAAACCGTCCAGAAAGTTTATTTTCCTCTCCACCTACATTCTAATTAATAGAAGTGGCCGGGTACATTTCTCGGAACTTCCCTTAAATCTTCATTACTTAAAAAACTTTTTATTTTATGAGACAACTCTTCAAATTGAACAGGCCCAACTTTGAGGGGTTGTGACCTAATAAGAGCCTGTTGTTCAGCTCCCTTTGGGATTAAGCTGGTTGCTTTGCGCCGTTTAGTTGACAATTAACTGAGTCCTTTTACAATTGCCGCCATTTTCTTATTTGGCGAAGTCAAGAAAACACGTAGAGAAATCAATTTTATTTGAATGGCTTATAGACAATGACGAAAATATCTTAGAAAGTGGCAAGACATGCAGGATCCTTGGGGAGAGTAAGGGAGCACTCAGAAATGTTTCCTCTTATTCTTAAGGAAATTTGAAAAACAGATTCCTTACCTATGCATACACGAAGCCGCAGATATTATGTAAAAATATATACTTCAATAGACAAAATTAAACTAACGCCAGGCCCTAGGTCTCGCGAGGTTTTGATGATTAATCCCTAAACATTTCAAAAGTAAATTTAATAGAGGATTTATCAATTGGGTCCCACATTTGTATCAATATTAAAGGTTTTCCAATTAATCTAGCTTTATAATGATATGGTCAAGTACTTAGTAGCTCTACAAATATCTGTCTGAGTAATTTTTCTGGAAATCGAAAATCTTAAGAATGATTAACCTTCTTCTGATAGCAAACCAAAGAGTTCGTTCTCAACAGTCGCAGTGTTCCCCATCAATTAGCAAAACAGCATTAAGAAAAATCGTACAAAACTGCCGCATTTGAGATTTTTATGGGTTCTATGTATGGGGAAAATAAATTGTTGTTGGAACGTGGCCTGCAAGTAAATCTTGTTGGTAATAAAATAAGCGCCCGTGGGTGGGTATATCATCGGGACAGAGATATTGCAACGTTGACTAATTCGGGTTATAAACATTTTACCGTACCTTACGTCAGCTTTGAGGATGTTCACTGAGATATGACATCAGAAGGCATATAATGAGCTTGCTAGATTTATGTGTAGGATAAGGGAACTGAAGAGATAGATTGGATGGAGTTTGTGAGCAGAACCTCATTATGGTTATTTATCATTTCGAAAAGGTAAGACAGAAATGATGAAGACTAGTTGCAGAATCAGTAATAGAGGACATGAAGATGAAATTATTAACATAAAGGTATTAATTGACGAGAGAGATACTTCAGAAAGTATATTAATACATGCAGCAAGGTTTTCAAACGATGATCATGTTAAAGATTCCTCGTTCGCAATCAGAAGTACCTATGAAATTCTGTGAAGGTAACCATGGATTAGAATTTAAGTAATGTGAATACACAAACTCTTTCCAAGATGTTATTATATCAGCCAAACAAGACAGCAGGAACACATTACTGTTTCGTAAAGCCGACCCAATTACGAAATGACGACAAGAATGTAATGAACTTTTCATTTTCCGGAAAAATCTTGCCCACAATCTCTACTTTTTTATGAAAACGATTCCAACAAAGAAAGCATTTTTTTCGACTACTTAAAAAATATGGACCAAAGTAAAAGAAGAGCCTGCTCAAAAACATGAATGACATACCTTTCTCAAGTTAAGGAAAAAGGTAATATTTTCCTCTTTTAAATAAACAAGTCCTGATTCAAAATGGTGCGAATAACAGAAGTAATGACGTACGGACGGTAGAAAACGAAATCATTTGCATTCAAGTCTCTCTTACGAGTCCGATTTTGGCGCGGTCATCAACCATTTACAGCGATACTATTCTGTGAGCTGATCAGATGTGATTTATTCAAGGACCCTGAAGATTGGTGTAATCTTAGGAGAATTTTGCCAATGCTGGAAAATATCCCTTTTCCAAATGCAGACATTTCAAATTCTCTCCGTAAAACACGTTGGATTACATTTTGTAAGCATCCCACTAAGTCCCTGCATAATGTATGAACGTGTTCGCGTAATTTTTCCTCTGTGACCCGAATATGTGAGGGAAAATAAAGAAACTCCGTCTCAAGTCTCGAGAAAGAAACTACGTGAAAGAATATGGAAAAGAAAACCTTTTGTTTGTGATCGGAACACAGCGCTATTGACGGTCGTCAGCGAGTGAACATTTTTTGTTTTTTGGGTACCTAATAACACGCGAAAAAGTAGAAGAAATTATTTTTATCTTATACGAGTGTAATCACAATTTTCTTTAAAACTAAAACGTTGCCATAAAAAGCAAATTGCTGTTACCAAATTACTTACGGAATGAAAAAATAAACAAATGACGTTTATATAAATCCTAAATGATCTGTTCGTGATGAGATCAGACTCTGTAAAATATTAAAAGTCTGGAAAATATTACGTTCATTGTAGACAATTTATATTCCTGAATATATCGATTTGTAATAAGTGGAAAACTCACCGAAAACAATGTTGAAACGAATCTGTTTCAGCCGGACAGCATCGGAGGGCCGCTGATTTCGATGCTAAACGCCAAATCGAGTGGAACCACTGTCAAAATTCTGTTACATTCACTGGCTTTTATTCATTTTATTATTTTTAGTGACACGATCGTGGGCCGCGTGCGTCTCGCGTGAACCCTGGCGCGGTACTGGCGAAATGGCGGGAATCGTGACATGCGCCCTGGGAAATCGATGCCGAATTTCATGCGTTATCTGTGGTCCCACATTACGTTTGAAATTTTTCGCGTGTTCAGCTGTTTTTCCCTTTTTATGTCGATTTTTTGTCACGTTGTCGTTGTTTGCATAAGGGATTAGGATTTGTTCGACGAGGCAAATGGAATAAAAGCGAGATAAAAAATGCAAGCCGGCTGTTCACGGCGGTGGAAGTGTTCACACTTCACTGAAACTTTGATGTGACTTTTATGGTTTTGTTGCGAGCACTTTTACTCTGTATGAGAGTTTTTAAATTGGATTGTGAGCATATTTTGATTTCATGTTTTGTTTCTTTTATTTTTCTATGCTTTCGTCGAATTAAGGTCGATTTATATTTATTACGTTACATTACTTGCTTTCTTTTCTAATGTGCTGGTTTACAGAAAAACATTTGCAAAACCATGAACTAGGTAACAAGAAAATAAACATCATTGTAAACTTCTTATAATAACTATCATGAGACATATAAAATTAACTAAAAATTGCGGGTTACTCACGCGAATATACTGAGAAAAGCTCTACTAGTTTCGAACAGAGGGGTTCTTCATCATGAGCGTGCGCGGTCGCGGTCTCTGCAGGCGGCTGCTGCTGGCTGGTGCGCCTCAAAGAGCCATCAGACCACCACAGATGGGGCCCAATAGGGCCGATGCCGATTCGGAGTCGCGGAGAACCTAACGGGTTACCGGGGCTCCGGCTCGACGGGCAGGAGAAGGAACGGGGTGGTTTTTAGTCAGTAAGAGTCTGACACTCCCTTCCGCCTCACCCAGGCGGGAGCAGTCATTCGATGATTTTCCCCCCTTAAAAAAAAACTAGTAGAGCTTTTCTCAGTATATCCACGTAAGTAACCTACGATATTTACTTTGAAAAAATCTAATTAAAGCTTTATTTCATTTGACAAATACACAAATGACATTGTTTCACATTAAAAATGGTTCCAGCATAGCATAGTACACAAATATACAGCATGTTCTATTTTTATCAGACTTGTCCTACAAATAATTCTATAAAGTATGATTAACATAATATTTCTACACCAGCAATGGTAGTGTATGTGAAACAAAATTTAATGTAAAACCTCAATGTACCATATACTTGGAAATAAATGACATTCTATTCTATTCTAAAAATTTATCTCCTAAATTCAGGTAAAAAAAGTTTGAAATAAAACTCTTTGGATTGAAATTCATATTGTATTTATTTATTGTTTAATATGCATACTCAGCTCACAGCGACTACGGTTCTAATGGAAGATATAACGTAGTACACGTAACTGCACAGTCTGCGCTGCATCTGAGAATTTCACAACGATTTGATGCACTTTTTATAAAATTCCCGATTGCAATTAATTAACATGTTTTCTTTAGAGACCAGTCAACTGTTTGACTAAAAGAAATTATATAATTTTCTGCCAAGTTCAGAAATAACAGTGTAGAAAATAAAATATTTAAAAAATGGGTTTTTAATATCGATAATTCATTATGATACAGTGAAAATTTTGAAACAATTTTTCACACAAATACATTTTAAATTTAACTTTACATTTTAGTCAGATGTGTTGATCAATAAAGAGGCAAGTCTATGTCAGAACCAGCAACAGAAATAATCCATACTTCATTAAAAAAGACTAATACTTCATAAAAAGAGCTTTGGAAAGCCCCTTCAAAAAAATTATCTAATCAAATGCAACGCAGACCATAGTAAATATAATTTATAATGAATAAATTACAATTAAAACTATAATGCGATTACATTACAACAATAGAGTGGCCCATACTTGCGGCTCGAGACAAAACTTTCAACACTTTCCACTTCACGTCAACAGATGGCGTTTTAATCAAAAACAAACTACACTCGCTGGCAAATAAATTGGCACACCATTTAGTAATCGGTGGGCAGTACACGTCGGGCCGAAATTATTGGCCACCGGGAAAATAATAAAACGAAACCTCCTTTTTACTCAAGTCGGTTAGTTAATGCCATCTCCCAGCCAAGATACATTTTTTCTTTTAAATTATAATCTCAACTATTGTAACGCGTATGATATAGTACATATATAACTATCTATATTATAAATGTGATCACACTTAACATCTTCGGTTTACAAATAAAAAGGGATTAACACTTAAACATTATCTAATTTTTTTATATTACACTTTCTTATATTCCAACAGATCATTCGGTTCTACTAAATTCACCTATAATAATATTGGTAAACAGTTTTTGTTTATTTTTTTTACATGTACAAATAAATACTCGAGTCTATAAACATTATTATCTACTATAGCTATGTATTTATTTAACTACGTAAAACATAAAAGTTATTTATATAAAAAGATGTTTTTATTTATAAATGAAAAGGTTAGAGAGTATAATTGTTCGCGGTCTATTTAGGGCGTGACGTCACACTCGTGACGCAGTGAGAACGGATTGTAAAGAGCTACGGAATTCAATCGTGTAATGTTGTGGTAGACGACAAAAATCGAATAACATCGTTTTCCACTATTAAAAAGTTTCACACAACAGTAAATCAAAGTTACCCTGTTCGAAGACATTGTATATCTTAAAAATTGTGTCCTCAGCCTTTATAATGATATCATTTTGTTACCAATTTTTTTTATTGATTCGCACGGATAATACTCACCTACAAATCTTCAAAAACTCATATTTTTCAATACTAATATTATAAAAAAATGTATTGAACACAAAGTAAAACTAATAAATAAAATTACATTCTAACAACAGTCTAACAAAAATACTTTTTTAAAATAACTTTTTAAACATTGCAGATGACATTATCCGTCGAAGTGTAATCACTAATTTGCTAAGGGATCTATGTATTACAGGGTTTTTAAACCAATACCAACCAAAATTTAAAGGAAATAAAGTCGAAATTAAATTCTACGTCAACGTTTGGGAGTTAGACGGACACCGGTGTCGATTTTCATCTATTACCTTTTCATACATATTTACTTTTTGCGCAAAATTATCTTATTATGTCGTACGAAATTTGTTTTTCTAAGGAACTATGAGGATTGGCAATTTTAAATATATTTTTATGAAATTTCTGTTAAATTAAAAATTGTAACAAAATAATTTTGCGCGTCTCACTAACACCTTACACTAGGGATGAATATATTTAATATTTTTAATTAAAAAATCATCGAGATTGGAATTTTACTTTACGATTTATTAATTATTATTTAATAATTAGTTTATTTATTAATAGAATACACCTACACAGTAGGAAAGTTAAACGGAAATGTTTATAAGTCTAGCGTACGATAGGAATATTTTTATGTCCATTTACGTCTTGAATGAAGGGCATCACACGATACATCGATATCGATAAAAATACGTCAAAGGCCAGTTTTAAAACCTGAGCTAGGTGAAGTTCAGCATGACGTCATTAAAGCACCACAATGATTACAGAAACCAGAAGAAAGAAATCTGACGTCATTGTCAAATACATTTTGTGTAACGTTTTTTTTTTAATTGCCTCACTTTATGATTTTCTTCCTTGTCGTGGGTGCGTTTACAAACATACAATTTCACACACATATAAACGCTTTCGAAAAACTCTATGAAAATCATAAAATATGACCAATTTTGTTAATTAAACGCGTACCCCTTCACTCAGGACAAACAAAAAATATCGAATCTTACTTAACACATTACAATATTGGAGAATGTATTCGAGACAAAACAAATGCATAGTACACCAAATAATTGGTTCACAGATCGAACGGGAACATAAATAAACATACATACTGTAGAATACATACATACTTACAAACTACGTAATATTCTTTAAATTTAACGCTTTCAAAAAACATTTTTTTAATCGAAGCTTTTTTAATATTGTTTTTTTAAAATCCCTCAAGGGACCGATGAGGCGTTGAATTAGCCGACAGTTTTTAATTCATATTTTAATATTAATTAGGGAATATTTCAATATACACACATATAGTATATTATAAGACATGGCACGGCCTGTCACTTCATTGTAACTATCAGGCGATTATCGAAACCAAGAGTCATTTATTTCATTTTTTTTAAATTCGGTATTTCACCGGGCAACCAGTTTTATTACTTCTTACACAATAATACAATATTAAAAATCTACATTTAAAATATACATTAAATTATTTATTTTTGGCATTGAATCGCGTTGTCACACGATTATCGAACGTATTTACATAGATATAGGGGTGGGTCGACATCACTGACTCGAATTGACTCAAAAACTATCAATAATCATAGACTTGGTTTGATAATGTCGTTATATTAAATCTAAGGGGTGGAAAAACACGGATTGCTTAAAAAATGGAGCAACTTGAATACGCTGTCAAACTTTTTGACATTCGCTTATGTCAGTTAGCGTCCTTAGTTAGCACTCCATTTATTAATTCATCTTTGATATTTCTACAGAATGTTGGAAAACTGAAGTAAATATTGCGATGCCCGTTTTCACCAACCTCTCCTAAATTTTAAGGAACCCATACACTCAGACAGGTAACACTTAACGACATTTTGATTTCCACTAACGTATAAGTGCCACCTACAAGTAAGGAATTAAGTTACGGTCACGCTAAGTAACTTTTTGTTAAGAGGTGATTTAGGGGTGGTTGCTGAAGTGGTTAAAACAGTATTGTAAGCACCGGTTCAGTACAAATCTTGTCGTGTTCCTACTAATGTGTTTGGCGTACAATTTGGTGTCTATTAACAGATATTTGGCTAAACAATCGGACACTTGAAGTCTTTACAACGGAATTATTTTAATGATTATTTGCCAATATGTACAGTTATACAAAATTAAATAGATTAAAGAAAATTGTGTACAAAGAACGAGTGTCGCTTAATAAAAAGTATTATTAATTTGATTCGGAATTAAAAATGATATCTTAATAAAACAATGTCTAAATACATGTTAATAATCCCATTTTGAACGTGGGTAATTTACGAACTTTCATATTAACAAAGATGAGGATTAAACAAGTCGAGTACTTACTTCCAAGTGACTTCAACTCGACACTTAGACATTACAAACTTCAACACGTCGCCTTCAGACCATGACACGACTTCCAAAAGATTCCACCAGTATATAATCACCATTCAATTTCATACATCGCTACCTACACGCCTCAAAATGCCGTACGAAAACCACTTTTCCTTTCACAGCCCAAAACTTTGTCAAACAAGTTCTTGCTACGCGAAAACCATCTTTATATTTAAACATGACAGAAGGTTGATATTCCTGTGACGAATGAATGATCTTCAATTCGGATTATAGTACGAACATAGCTCTAATATCGATGTAAACGTTTCGATATAATAGACTTAAAAGACACTATGCATATCGATTAAACTTACATTCGTAATCGATTTTTATCGATGAGATCGAGAAGAAATTGTCACTTTATTTAAATAAAAAATGTTGTGAATTATGAATTTGAGTTTGATGCCACAGTGTGATGAGATCTGATAATACTGTATAGCACATAAACGGTTAGGCAGAGGCGCGATTACATTATCCAAACCCACTCTTCTCATATAAGTAATTCTAATGTGGTGTAAGTTAGTAAAGAAGTCAGTTAGCTATGGAACACTAATCGAGTTAACAGTGGTCTTATTCTTCACTAGCGGTAACTCATTATGACCCAACCAAGAACCTTCATGATAGTTTTACGTTCAAACTCGTATTCGCACCTCTCAATATTTAGGAGTTGTATTTAGATACTGTGGCATTGTACTCCTATAACAATTTGATTTTCTTGTGATAAATATTTAATTAATTATCGTTTACGGCTTACTCACGTAACTTTTGTAAAGGGTAACTCAACATTTCAACGCAAACTGAGAACTCATAGTCACGGGCAGTTGCCTCAAACGTGCCTTACGTTGCCTTACGTGAATAAGCCATAATTTAATTCAAATTTTCATTCTAATGACATCTTAAAACCAAAAATGACACCGTAATGACACCGTTTTGAAAAATGACAAGATCAATGACAACACTTGGTACCGGTGAAACGAATAATAGTGATGTGCCCTAACGTTAAATAAAATTATCGATGAGCTAACCACGGAGGGAGCGTCGGTTGTTGCACCATTTATTTATATTATAATCGCAATTATATTGCATTTTCAAGTAAAGATTTTAAGCAATAACATTTTCTCTTAATTTACAAAGAACATTGGAATAATGAAGGAAATCAAGTCATTACTTATAAATATTCATACTGTTTTAAACTGAAACGAAGAAGCTGATTTTAGAGACAAGAAATAATTACAACAAGGCATCAATGTGTGGCTTGTATACAATTCAAAATCTCACACCAGATTCAACAGGGGAATTTTCTTAGAAACAAAACTAGACACATTAATACATCTTATAATTGCGTTTACAAAACACAACTACGTATAAAATATCCACAAAGTATACCATACCACAACATTTGACATCGAAGAATATAAACTAGTACATTGACGCCAAAAAAACTGAAAAGCCAACCGACTCTCCCCTTTCATATTAAAAGGAATAATTTAAAAGAACTCGTGCACCTTGCGAAATACCGAGAGCACTCTTCATTTCTTGGTCTTCACCGTCACGTAGGCTGGCTCCGGCGCACGCAGCAGTAGCGGGAGGCGACGGTCGCGGGGCTCGCGGGGCTCACGGGGCTCGCGGGGCTCGCGGGGCTCACGAGGGTCGCGGGGCTCGCGGGGCTCCCTGTGCGGGACGGCGTACTGCGGCGGTGCGGGGGCGGCCAGCGCAGCCGCGGCCGCGTCTCATGTGTGCAACGCTGAGTTTATCTCGCGGTGGATTGTGCTCTGTAGTTGAGACGGAGTTTTGTATTGGGATTTTGGAATGAGTCAAAATTTTAGGCGAAATTGAAAAAGCTTTTTAGTGAATGAAGGTTTTTGAATTACGACTGAGTAGTTGGCGCTCTTGTATTAACCAGGGCCTTTAGTCAAACGCCACATTAGCGCTTGTCTACAGAGAGAGTAGAAATCAAAATGTATAGGAATGACACTGACAAGTGTCAAAATTTACGTCAATGCCATATAATTAGGTTTTCTATTCTACACGTAGACAAGGGCTAATTGGTATTTGGCTACAGCTGCAGGTTACACTAGGGAACAAAATATGCCCCACGGCATGTATCGGCGACAAAGCGCGCCTTATGTCCACAGCGATGTTGATAGTACCAGACATGCCGACATAAGTCCGGCAACGTCGCTCTACTTCACCGAACGTCGCTGGCAACCCAAGTCGCAGGATATTTGTCCTCTAGTGTATCCTTGGCTTCAGGCTTGGCGTTAGGTCGGATTAATTCAATGAGTTTAAGTACTTAGAATAACAACTTTTGAGTAGTCTACAAACTTCGAAGTAATTTAAGAAGGACAAACATTCTACAGGCTAGATTAACCTCTTGTATGTTGAAAGTTGCGGGTATAATGTGTTCTAAACCAGCAGCCGGTGTTTAAACAGATAAAATAGCGCCTTTTGTGACACTAGCACTACGCGAAAACTGTTATTGAATACAAACAGACATAAATAAATTTTCCATTCGAATTCACTCTTAATTAATATAATGTTAAAATACAATTTACAATGTCATAACAGCCACCAATACTATGATAGTTATGTATTACATGAAAGTAACTAACTCTTATTCAAATATCGCCTTTAATCCTGCAACTTTAAGGTATATTTTTGTATACAACTTACCAGCTCATCAAGTTGCCGCGCCAGTTGGTCGTTGAGTGCCTGTATGACCTGTCGTTGTCCGTCCTGCGCGGCGAGAGCTAGTTCCAGCTGACTTTGAGCGAGTTTAGCCTCTGCGTCCTGGGGAATTAGGATCAGTTTCTTTTGATATTGTGTGTGTTTTAGACAGTTATTAATATCTGAATTGTACTTGATAATTTTTTTTATTACATCCCAACTAATATTAAAAATGGTAAACTATACTTGTTATGCTTTATTTACTCAATCTTCTAGAAAGCATACGCGTACGGCGAACGATATACTGCTAATTTAGAAGATCAAAACCGCTGGTTAAAGTAAGTATACCATGTATAAATATTTAAATATGATTAATTAAATAAATGAGATTAATACATGCAATTAAATTCTACTAGTTAGAAGCAGTATGGGGTGAAAGGAGAAGATAACAAATAAGACAGGAGAATAAAATAAATATAGTGAAAAAAAAATTTGACTCAATTTAAACTTTATTACCTACGTCATAATACCCACCTTAAATAAGCAAAGACCTTGAACTTTCCAAGACCACATAGATTTCTTTAATCCACTTTAAAACATTATGTTGTTCTAAATCACGATACAAGACTAAAACAACATTCAATAGGGGCTACCGTATTTTTGGCGCTAGTGTGACCCTCTCGATTTCGTCCAATAGGGAAATAGCAAGTGTCACGCTAATAATGGACGTTCAAAATTTGACAACTGCAGTGATTGGACCAGAAATCTCTTGCTGTATTTCGCGCCATCTAGTGGCCAGAAAACGATAGCCCCCATTGTTTCAACAAAATAATAAAATTAGAGAGAAATAGAAAGGAATAAGGACAGAAAATAAAAAAGAAAGGAAAGTATAGAAAAGTAATTTATTTGTTAGTAAAAACGTAAAAAATAACAAGATTAGTAGCAAACTTAGATAAAGGTATTAACATTAATTTACTAATAAATACATTCATGCACCTCACATAATTATGTACAAATAATATAATAAATTAGCCATTCAACAATAATTATAAAATGTTATAAAAAAACACAAAAAATAAACTACATATCGAAGTGTTTTGAACGGTTAATATTTAAATACTATCCTTAGTTTTTAAAAAGAGAGACCATTTTAGCATTGGACGTTTTCCAGGGTTTTACATATTATTATACACGATTTACACACAAAAATAATATTTATTTAATGTCATCAAAATCACTTCGATATAACAGAAACATGCTTTTCGCAACACTACACAACACAGAGTATAAAGCAAATGGAATACCATAATTTTTACATTCTTTCATGAAATATTATTATCACAGATACTGCTTAGTATTTGTTTTAATAAAATGCATGAGAGACGTGCATTTCATTCGTTCTCTACTCCATGTCAATACTACAAAAACGTCGAGACGACATAATTACCAAAATTGAAATTACTTACTTATTTCACTTGGAATAGGATTGAAATTTGTTACGACAGTTCTACAATTTAAGTGACGACCTATAGTCAATTGTAGTATTGGAATTACTTTAGCTAGCAGAATTTACAACTAATTTTAACCCAAACACACTAGACATTTTTGGTAAATTTATTCAATACATAACTAAACATAACATCACGCCTTTTATCCCCGAAGGGGTAGGCAGAGGTGCACATTATGCCACTGTACAATGTAACACCCACTTTTCACTATTTATGTTATGAATCCCATGTAAAAGGGGGTGAGCCTATTGCCATATACCGGGCACAATTCCAGACTCCGTGCTACTACTGAGATTTTTTTTAAAAACCCAGTAATACTTTGCCCGACCCGGGAATCGAACCAGAGACCCCTTGCCCGGCAGTCGCACTTGCGACCACTCGGCCAACGAGGCAGTCAACATAACTAAACCTACTAATTTAACTTCAAATATTATTACTAGTAATAGTTCTCACAAGTTTTTTTATCAAACTGACGTTATTGAAAACCAACATACTTCGAATTTATTATGAATCAATGTTACAGAAGAACGCACACAGAAGACTGACTAGGGACCAAAAAGAAGATTTAAACAATGTAATTATCTCGTCTCTTCTATCTACTTCTACAAGAGCACCATCAAACAGCCGAGCCGTAGTAGTAATCGTAGTTATAATATGTACTATAACCAACCTGTTCGCTCTTCTTCGACTTGGTGATCTGGGCTAGCTCCTCGTTCTTCTGAGCTAGTTCCGCCTCTAATTGGGCGACACGCTGGCGAAGCTGTTCCACTTCGTTGGCTTCCGCGCCTGTAATGATATGGTACATTATGTTGATTTGTGTCGGTTGCTGACGGCAAAGAATCATCACTTCTAACTCTTTGCCGTAGAGGCCAAATAAGGGGCTGTACACAGATTCCGATTTACTTGGTTACGGGAACTAAGACATCATGTCCCTGGGACGATTCATGGTTATATCTACTTTAGATTCTAGCTTACAGGAATTGTAGCGGTTTTGGGAGGTTGAGGCAGGCTTGTCCCTATTAAAAAACTGGGCTGGGCATTAGACAGATATGATAGGAGCGCTTTAATAAACTTGCCCCTTCTGCAGCTAAAGTCTCCAGGTAACTCTGATAAGCGAAGAGATTATGAAGAGGAGGCCTGTAGTGGGACAGTGGACTACCGGACTGTTCTTGTTATATGCGCAGAACTTCCTTGATGGACATTTACGGACGGCAAGTCCTAGTGTCTCATTTAAAAAATAGTTGTAGTAGTGCATATGTACCTTTAAACTAAACAAATGCCAATTCGGTATGATTGAAAACTACAACCAGTCATAAATGGACGAGCAGCAGCTTAACTTGTAAGACCCAACTGCTCCCCAAATCGCCTGCCATTTGAGAGTATGGCAAACCCTAAGGTCGATTTTTTTAAGGGGGGAAAATCATCGAATGACTGCTGGGTGAGGCGGAAGGGAGTGTCAGACTCTTACTGACTAAAAACCACCCCGTTCCTTCTCCTGCACGTCGAGCCGGAGCCCCGGTTATCCGTTAGGTTCTCCGCGACACCCTAAGGTCGATAAGAATGCATTTGGGATCAACATATCACATCAAATTATGACAATGGCACAGCACAATACATGCATAATCAGACATTCCATCAGCAGTCACGCCTACCTTTACCAGCGTAGTGTCTGGCGCGGGCCACCTCCTCTCGGTACTGGTGCAGCTGCCGCTTCCACTCGTCCACGTTGGCTGTGCTCTCCTGCAGCGCGGCCGTCAGTCGAAGGTTGTTACTCTTCAACGTAGCTAGCTCCACCTCCCATTTTTTAGCGTTCGCTGAGCTGTGGGAGAAAGATTGTTTCTATTAGAATTTTTATTATTTAATGTCAAATCAAGCGTCGAAAATTGTTCATTAGGTCCTGTAAAGATCTTAGTTGTAAACAAAGTTTTCTTGAAAAATTTGGCGAGACTTATAATTGTTTCTACGCCAATGTCGACAATAACACTAGGTTATAAGAGTCCCTTCTTATTGTATGCCAAAGAACTGTTTGGCTAATGTCCTGTGGAAGACAAAAATCATCTACGATGTCTAATGAGGTGTACCGTAATCAACTTATACCACTAAGTTATAACACATTTGTTCAACATCTATACCAAATCGAACCACGACATCATCTTAAAAAGTACCATACCAAAAAGGCTATCACTTCAAATCCACCTACCGATAACACTTAAAACTACAATATCATGAACAGAAGAAAAACTCCATCAACTGAAGTGTTTAGGTAAATACAAAGGGAAAAATCTCCCGGGTATATTTGACCAACAGTTTCAGACCCGTAATTCAATAGTGATGTGCCTTTCGCAAGCAAATACACATGTCTATTGTCTATATATACGTTTTGTGTGTAAAAAGTGTGTGTACGTGTATTTCCAATTCTTTCCCGCGAGATGGGTCGTTAATCTTAGTTGTGGGCCGCACGAATGTTATTCTCGTTACACGAATACACGATAGCTACTGGGATATATTGCGTGCTCTTATATTGTGCTTCATCAAACTGCTGTATTCTGTGCTGTAATCGTTATTATTAGTTTTTTTAAGGGGGGAAAATCATCGAATGACTACTCCCGCCTGGGTGAGGCGGGAGGGAGTGTCAGACTCTTACTGACTAAAAACCACCCCGTTCCTTCTCCTGCACGTCGAGCCGGAGCCCCGGTTAGCCGTTAGGTTCTCCGCAACTTTTTATTAGTTTAGATGTATAATTGGAAGTGTTTAAGAATTAGAGGTAAGTTGATCTAATTAGAGCCTATAAATATTTTCCACTTTTTAATTTTGGCCTGCCTCGTTGGCCTAGTAAGTGCGACTGTGCGGCAAGGGGTATCGCGTTCGAATCCCGGGTCGGGCAATGTAATGCTGGGGTTGTTTGAAAAAACTTCTCAGTAGTAGCACGGGATTTGAAATTGTGTATATGACAATAGGTTATGACATATAATGAAAAGTGGGTGTTACATTGTACAGTGGCATTATGTGCCGTAATTTGCATATCCACGTACCTTTTCGGGGATAAAAGGCGTGATGTGATGTTATGTTATTTAACTAATATTCTTTTTCGTTGTTTGAACGATCTGTTGAGTTCCAAGAATCGTTTTTCATGTTTGATGAGACTAAATAATTTTCTAAGAGTAAAGTCAAGTTCAAGTCAGTTTTAACTCACAGATTAAACTACTTGATTATACATAGAACAATAAAACATCTTCAATAAACAACAACATAACAGAAAACCGACCAAAAACAAATGACAAACAAAAAGTAAAAACTAAAAAGGAAAAAAAAAACTATTAGTGGTCATACGTACTTATAGCTTACACACCCACTGATAGGTTAGAAGTCGGTGCCACAAGCTTTAAACCTAATTATTATATATTCATTAAAACCTTAATATTACCTAACATTATTGAGCTGTTTACAATTTTATTATGGATTATACCAGCTGTGACTTTTGTCTACTTTATATTTTATTGTGGGTTTGTGGCTCCGACTTCTAACCTATCAGTGGGTGTGTAAGCTATAAGTACGTATGACCACTAATAGTTTTTTTTTCCTTTTTAGTTTTTACTTTTTGTTTGTCATTTGTTTTTGAAGTCGGTTTTTTTAAACGCAGTTTTTTAATTTTATTTTATACTTTTTGGTTTAGTACTTTGATATATTATATTATACAAAACCCACATGGATGCAAAGTTTTCATCAATACAAATTATGCAAGTTCAAACACCGGGTGGGTACTCTTAACCATTGAGGAGTCCCTTAGCTATCATACTACTTCGTCATTGGACCTTTAATGACCATCACCCCCCCCCCCCATCTAGGTGTAAAGTCCTCATCAATACAAATTAATCAAACCTAAACACAAAATAGCTACTGTTAACCGTTGAGGAGTTCCCTGAACTATCTTACTACTTCATCATCAGACCCTTATTGTCAATTACACCCCACTCAGGTGTAAAGTCCTCAGCTGGTATAATCTATACTTATAATAAATCTGTAGAGAGGTAAATTCTGTACATAAAATATATTTAAAAAATAACTATCAAGGGGTGGTTAGGGATCGCTACTGATGCCAAAAATGCAATCAGTAAAATTTTTGTCTGTCTGTCTGTATGTTCGTTATGGAAACAAAAACTACTCGATGGATTTTAACGAAATTTGGCACAATTATTCTTCATACTCTTGGGCAGGTTATAGTATACTTTTCATTACGCTATGATCAATAGGAGCAGAGCAGTGAAGGGAAATATTGGGAAAACGGGAGAAGTTACTCCATTTTTTAAGCTTACGTCGCGTGTGCAGGTTTATAGGTTAAAGCTGCATAGAAATCATGTATGACGGAAATATTCTCCTTAAAATTATATAAAAATATTCCTCGACAGCACATGCCAATCTTTTAGGGTTGACTCACAATAAAACGTGAAACTCCCGATAGCTTAGCAATCGGTGATTTCTGATTGTATTTGTGTACTCTAACGTTCACAATACTCATTCATAGACTTTACGCTGTAACTGAAAGGCCAATGGTTGAAATTAGCTTGACTCGATATTATAAATGAAAATATGTGAGTTTATGTGTATGTTTGTTACTCAGTCATATTAAAACGACTGAAGGGACCGGAATGAAATTCGGAACAGAGGTAGATTATGGTCTGAAGTGATACATAGGCATTTTACCCCTGGGATCGCGGGCGAAGCCGTTGGCAGAAGCTAGTCCATAATAAAATTGTAAACAGCTCAATAATGTTAGGTATCTATTAAGGTTTTAATGAATATATAATAATTAGGTTTAAAACTTGTGGCACCGACTTCTAACCTATCAGTGGGTGTGTAAGCTATAAGTACGTATGACCACTAATAGTTTTTTTTTTCCTTTTTAGTTTTTACTTTATGTTTGTCATTTGTTTTTGAAGTCGGTTTTTTTAAACGCAGTTTTTTATTGTTTGTCATTTGTTTTTGAAGTCGGTTTTTTTAAACGCAAGTTTTTTATTTTATTTTATACTTTTTAGTTTAGTACTTTGATATATTATATTATACAAAACCCACATGGATGCAAAGTTTTCATCAATACAAATTATGCAAGTTCAAACACCGGGTGGGTACTCTTAACCATTGAGGAGTCCCTTAGCTATCATACTACTTCGTCATTGGACCTTTAATGACCATCATCCCCCCCCCCCCCCCCATCTAGGTGTAAAGTCCTCATCAATACAAATTAATCAAACCTAAACACAAAATAGCTACTGTTAACCGTTAAGGAATTCCCTCAACTATCGTACTACTTCATCATCAGACCCTTATTGACAATTACACCGCACTCAGGTGTAAAGTCCTCATCAATACAAATTAATCAAACCTAAACACAAAGTAGCTACTATTAACCGTTGAGGAGTTCCCCAACTATCGTACTACTTCATCATCAGACCCTTATTTAATACAAATTAATCAAACCCAAACACAAGGTAGCTAGTGTTAACCTTTGAGGAGTTCCCTCAACTATCGTACTACTTCATCATCAGACCCTTATTGTCAATTACACCCCACTCAGGTGTAAAGTCCTCATTAATACAAATTAATCAAACCCAAACACAAGGTAGCTACTGTTAACCGTTGAGGAGTTCCCTCAACTATCGTACTACTTCATCATCAGACCCTTATTGACAATTACACCCCACTCAGGTGTAAAGTCCTCATCAATACAAAATAATCAAACCCAAACACAAGGTAGCTACTGTTAACCGTTGAGGAGTTCCCTCAACTGGCTCTCGGCTCCATCATCAGATCGGCTCCAGACCTTTATCAGATTGTAGTGGTTTTTAATACTAAATGAAAAAATTAACAAATGCCCTAGTCACCCCTATAATTTTTAAAAGTTCCCCTCGGTTTCCCTGGTCTTCCATCATCAGATCCTGATTTCCTTATCATGGGACCATTCTGGAACTATCTCCTTTCTAACAAAAAAATAATTTTCAAAATCGGTTTATAAACAACGGAGATATCGGCGAACAAACATAAAAAAAAGCATATATATATACGGTCGAATTGAGAACCTCCTCCTTTTTTTTGAAGTCGGTTAAAAAGTAATTATCATCAAGAAATTATTTACCTAGGCAATCAAGCGTAACGTCTCACCGACCATAATATAATAATATATAACGAAGGAGGTTATTGTAAAAACGCATTATCATGTAACTTTCGACCGACAGTTGCACGCTATTGCCTCATAAGCGAAAGCACAAACATCTGCTTGTAACGTTATGTGTGTGCGAATTTTACGGAGCTGTGCAAAAATTATCGAAAGCTGGTCCACTACTGATTGTATTACATAGTTTTGTATGGCTGTATCATCGTCTATCATTCGTATTGTACCTATATTTAGATATATGTAGGCACGAATGAGCCGGCTGGACTGAAGTGATACCTCGTCGAGCAAAAACCGACGTGAAGCAACGCTTGCGTTGTGTTTCGTCGTGTGAGTAAGATTATCGGAGACCTAATCACCCCCCCCCCCCCCTAATCCCCAGTCTCCCCAATCCCCGAATCCCCCACGGCCCCAGGGCATACAAGGCTACGCACTTGTATGTAATGCTTCTGGTGTTTCAGGTGTCCATGGGTGAAGCCGAATGTTTACCATCAAGATGATCCGTCTGCTCGTTTACCAACTTATCCCATAAAAAAGGAAGTTCAGATTAAGCTCTTAACTAAATAACGTTTTAAAACCAAGTAAAGTTTCTTTGGTTTAGTGCCAAAATGTACATACAATGTAAAGTTTTAAAACGAAGATCACGTATCCTC